GAACATGTGTTTCCCTCCTTAGGGCACCCAGAAATTTATTTCCATACTGCTCATTTCTGTTGGCTCCTTGAAAATTCTCTGCACTCCACAATGTTAAGATAAAGAGAACTTCCTCCCTTTAATGAGTAGAGTCGTGTTTATCATTTCAACAATTTAAATAATAACAACTACATATCAAGCCCTGGACTAATTATACTGTTTTATGATGCCCTGAAGTTTACAGAACACTTTCCCACACAGCCATTCAGTTCTCCCAAAAAGCTGTGGAGTAAATTTCATTAATTATCCTCGTTTTATAGGGGAGAACACTGAATTTCAGAAAGCCTCAGTTGCCGCTGAGACTTTATTCCTTTCCATTTCATTGCTTATTTCCACTCACCTACTGTGAACTTCTCCCAGTTTCACTGAGCTAGGTGAACCGGACTCATTGCACTGGGAGCACTGAGTGAGAGACTGCACCTTCTCTTGCTTATTCCTTGCTATTATTAGAATGCTGTTCTACTTAGTCTGAAGGTCTGTGCTTTTTCAAGTTCTTTTTTTTATATATATATATTTTATTGATTTTTTACAGAGAGGAAGGGAGAGAGATAGAGAGTTAGAAACATCGATGAGAGAGAATCATCGATCAGCTGCCTCCTGCACATCTCCGACTGGGGATATGCCCGCAACCCAGGTACATGCCCTTGACCGGAATCGAACCTGGGACCGCTCAGTCCGCAGGCCGACGCTGTATCCACTGAGCCAAACCGGTTTCGGCCTTTTTCAAGTTCTTAAACCACAATTTGCTAAAAGAATACATAGATTTTAATTAACATGCTACCTCCTGCCCTACTCACTACCTCAAACCACAGGAAGCCATGGACTTTGTCATTATTACCTTTTATTATGCACTAATTACATAAAGACCCTGCCTTCTTCATTCAGTGGAGAAGTCTTTCTTAATCCACTGAATTAATCTTTGACCAAGTTTCCTGGCTTGCAAGAGCTCCTGAAGGAAAGGAGACGTGGCTCTGTTAGGTCACCATGTCCTTCCATTCTGAGGCTCGTGTGGATTGAGTTCCCGATGAGCTAGATTTGTCAGGGATGTGTGGCAGCAGGATAAGTTCAAGGACCTCACGAGGTGATTCCAGCCCCAGTTTCATAATTCCCATTCTATCCAAGCATCTTTTCTATAAGCACCAGCCTAAGGAAGCAGAACTGTAGAGCAAATCTGTACTCCACCCCCAATCTTAGCCTTCCTTTGAATATTCCAATGGATTGGGGGCTGAGGGGTGGAATCCCATTATACTGTGTGACACACACACCTGTGTCACATGCTTTAGCTTACCTTTCATTTCACCCGGAGCTGCAGCAGATGATCATGTTGATAGGTTCACCTGATGTTGACAGCCTGCCATTTCAAGAACATGCCACACATCCTTTTGCGTTCTGTCCCAAATTTATTTAATACCTCCAGAGACTACCTGGCCTTGTTCCAATGGCAAAAGCACAGCCCAGACATGCTGGCGAGTTAATGCCTCCAGGGGCCACCCTCAACCAACTGGAGCCAGAGGTCCGTGAATAAGTGCCCCAGTCCCCAGTCCCTCAGTGGACAATTCTCTATGCTACTCCCAGTGGAATCAAGCTCCCCTTGCACACAGTAGTGATCTTCATAACTCACCTCATGGTGGTTTTCCTTCCTTCCCTGTCTTGTAGCCCCAGTCCTTTGCTTCTGCTCCCTGGGAACACCTCCCACATAAATTGCCTGCACATGAATCATAGCTTTGGGTTCTGCTTCTCAAGGTAACAATTTATAGACAAGGGTCCTAGAATTCCAAGCCTAATCATCTCCTCTTACAAGTGCTGGTTAATGGAAATGCAGATTCCAGAGTCAGTTCTCTAGACTCTTTCGACCGCCCTAAATGAAAATGAGAAGACAAAGCCCTTTCAAGTCCATGCTAGACTTTGGGCCTTTGCTATTTCCTCCACCTAGAATGTCCTCTTTGGCTTGTCTTTTGGTCTCAGCTTGTTAACTCCCGGAACCCTTCTCTGACCACACCATTTAGAGCAGCCCCATTCTTCGAGTTACTATGACATCAACCTGGTTTGTTATTTTCATAGCTCTTACCATTCTCCAATATAATCTTGTTTATTTATTTGCATGTTTCCTGTGAGTCTTCTCTCCACTAGGAGCTTGCCTGTCTTGTTTCCTGCTTTATTACAATGCCCAGTATACAGTCAGTGCTCAATGTTCAGAGGGAAGAAATCCATGTGTTGTACCATAAACTTCACTTGCCCTGATTATAACAACATGACCGCTGTTTTTGAGTACACAGACCATTGGAAAAGAGTTTAGCTCTCCAGCTAGTTGAGCCCATGAGTTTAACACTTCTGAATCTCCGGTCTATCTCAAGATTCAAGAATGATAAGTTAGGGGCCACAATCTTTTCCCTGGTGCTCTGTATCCTAAGCTCAGGGTGGAAACATAGAATGCATCAGTGCCATCAGGACACAAAAGAAGTAAGCAGGAGGAATAGAGGAATCAAAATGCAAGTCTTCACCCCTTACTTTGGCAAACCGTAGCTCAGGTATACCATATAGAGTGGAGTGAGACTGAGGCCCTGGGGCAAAGAGATGTGGTAAAAAAAAAAAAAAAAAAAAAAAAAATGCTTCGATCTGGCTCGAGATCATAACAAGGAAAAGGAAAGGGAGTCCAAATAGTCATACATGGTTCAGATTAGTTTACCAGGGGAGGGGACGATTTGAAGATTTGAAGAAGCTGCTCTAGCCGGGAATAACAGCTATGCATTGCAGCTTATGCATCTTGTGCTATTTAGTCTCAGAAACCTTGAATGAAGTGTTAGGAAAGTGGATGGGAGAAAGAACAGCACTGACAGCAAGAGTCACAGTGCTTCCTCAGCAAGCACTTTCAGATGCTTCTAACTTGACCGCTCCTTCACCTCTGTTTTTCTGTCTCCTCACATCTTTCCACCTCATGGCTGCGGAGGTCAACCTTCAACCTGATGTGCTTGCTTGGAGAGCTTAACATGCAATCATAATTCAGAACAGAAAGCGGCGTTTTTATGTGGAAAAAAAACCTTAAGTGGAATTCTCCTTAGTCTATGACATGTAGCTATCATCTTAATTATTCTGTGCATTCTGACTGGTAGAGCAAAAATTATAAAAATGTCTATACATCGATTATTTTAAGGATTTTTAGGATAGGCCAGAAGCAAATGGTCAAGTTGCTGGACATGGAAGTAGTGCCTGTTGGCTTTGAATGCATCCTCCACAGGATGAAGAAAAGACAAAAAAAAGGAAAGAAGATGCAGCAAGTATGTCCAAGAACTGGTATTTCATAAATAATGACTGGTCTCTCTGAGTTACCAATAAAAATCTCTTATTTTCCTTAACCTTCTTTCCCCTTTCCTTCTATTATTTACTAGAGGCCCGGTGCACGAAATTTATGCACAGATGGGGGGGGGGGTCCCTCAGCCCGGCCTGCATCCTCTCCAATCCAGGACCCCTCGGGGGATGTCTAACTGCCGGGTTAGGCCTGGATCAGGCCTAAACTGGCAGTCAGACATCCCTCTCACAATCTGGGACCACTGGCTCCTAACCGCTCACCTGCCTGCCTGCCTGATCGCCCCTAACCACTCTGCCTTCCTGCCTGATTGCCCCTAACCCTTCTGCCTGCCTGCCTGATCACCCCTAACCCCTCTGACTGCTGGCCTGATCACCCCTAACCTCTCTGCCTGCCGGCCTGATCGCCCCTTACTGCCCTCCCCTGCCAGCCTGATCGCCCCTAACTGCCCTCCCCTGCTGGCTTGATCTCCCCTAACTGATCTCCCCTGCCAGTCTGATCGTCCCTAACCGCCTCTGCCTCGGCCCCCACCTGCCACTGTGGCTTCATCTAGAAGGAGGACCAGATGACTGGAAGATGCCCAGTCGACCCTGTCTAATTAGCATATTACCCTTTTATTAGTATAGATGACTTGATTCTTATTTATCAAGTACATTCTAAAATTAATAAAACATTGTCACTGCCCTTAAATACTCTTATACTGTATGGGGGCAGGTAGGCATGCAAATAGGTAAGATAAATAATGACCTCTTCTTGGAAAGGACCTGATAAGCCATTATACACAAAGGTGGTAATAGCATAAGCTATTAACATCGCCCAGGGATGTCTGCAAATAGGGGATCATGCCTTCAAACACTGACTTTTGTGGAATTTCAAGCATTTGCATTTTCACTACCATCTGCCATGGTCCATTTATTAATGTAGGGTGAATAGCTGGGAACATCCAAGCTGTCTTAGCAGGGCTTCTATACAAAAAGGAATTATTTTAAAAGTGGCACAAAGCTTCCCTGCCCCACCCCAAATTTACCCCTGCTGACTCTGCTGATAGTCCCAATTAAAATTCTTTATAATGAGACTTTTTCATAAATGCATAAAGTAGAGCAATATATCATTTTATGGTACCATCTAGTTACAGATCTACTGGAAACAACTTAGTACAATTTGTCCTCAAGCCAGTTTAAATGACTAATCCTGGCACTATGCCATATATCCCCCAACACCGGAAGGATGGTGGGTAGCAAGCCTACCACAGAACTATAACTTAAGTAAGCTCAGCCTTTAATAGGTATAATATTAAACCACAACAATCATGACTTCATACTTTAGTACATGCTGTAATAAGATCAGACTCAGCCCTAGAGCAGGAATTCGTTTCTACTCCCAGCTCTGTTAATCATCTAGCCTTGCGGCCTTGGACAAGTCACAAAGCTCTCTGGGCCTTGCTGTCCTCATCTATAAAAGAGAAGACCACTTGATTCAATGAATCCAAGGTTCTATCTACTTCTAACTTTGATTAGTAGCTAACGCTTACTGAGTACTCAGAAGGAACAAAAATCCTTTCTGGACTCTATCTGGCACTCATCATCTAAGCTTTGTTCTCATGCATTTCCAAATTGTAGCCTGTTTTATATAGATTTCAATGAACTTAACAACTTACCAAATAAATTGTCAGAAAGAGAAAATTCATCCGCAGCAGGTAAGTGGGAGTGTTGGATGAGATTCATTTTTGATCCAATCCAAACTTTTCTACTTGAGAATGCACCTTTGTTATTGTGGTCTTCAAAAAAACACCCTGAAATGCAAATAAATAAATAACGAGTTTGAGGAAGAAGGTAGGAGATGGTTGAGAGAGAGAGGGAGGGAGAGTTCATGCTAATTTACAAAACAGTAATTGGCTCCTTTTTGACATTTTGCCAAGGCCTTTCTTTATGTATTTGTTCTCAATATTTATCATTTTTACACCTAAGTTGGACTTATAAGTGTAGAGATACTCTCCAATTTACCTGGGAAAACACCATATATTTTCACTTAAATATCAACACTTGGGAGATTTGGGCAAAGCATGATGATATTTTGGTTGTGTTTTTTTCTTTTACATACAAAAAAATCCCACCAAAAAACACAAATATAAAAGCCTTGATTTAAAATGGGATGTATCCATGATGTATTATCTTAAATTTTATTCTAAAGTTGAACAGGTCTTTGCACAAACACAAAAGTACTTTAAGACCCCTTTCTACTGGAATATTCTTAAGTTGAGTAGGCACTATGTCAGCAAATCAAAAATTTAGAAAGGATTCCCCCAAGATCTTTATCTTTGCCTCTTAGAGAAAATTTAAGGGATTTGCATTTTCACTCTCATGATCTACCTTGGCCATATATTATCTGGGATTAAAAAAAAGTTATGATAAGCAGAAAAGTTATGGTAAATCTCACCAAAATGTCTGAAGTTTCATCCTGGGGAGTGGTCCAGAACTCATCCCAGAACCCAAGAGAAGCAGTGTTCACTTTTAGTTTTATCTCCAGGTCTTCTTTCCTTCCTTACTTCCTTCCTTTATTCCTCCCAATATGTCTTCTACCTCCCTGAAGAAGAAATGTGAAAGGTCAAATAATGAAAAGGTGTGTTATCAGAACCTCTTTTCTAAGGCTGTTTTCTGAGGGCGATTTTTAAACCTTTTTATCCTGTCTCCACAAAATAATTGCTTTGTTTACAAATAATAACTATTTATATTTTCTACTCTGGAAGAGAACCTAGGGTTATTTTTTAGACTAATATTTATTTCATTAGAACTTTCCTATTATTCATATTTCTTTCTCTCTCACTCAGCAAAATGGTCTCGTTCAAGCAGAAGTGGGTAGCAGATGCATGTGGCTGCTGGTAAGACAGTCCACCAGACAATGTTTGCTGTATTTATTCATTTACTCATGCTTTCAAAATACATTTGTTGGGGACTTATTCTGCACTAAATTCTGTGCTGAATCTTTGGAAATAAAATGATGAAAGGAACACAAGCATCCATGATCTATGACATCAAACTTAATGAATAGAGAGATTAAAAAATAATTCCACAAATATACTGATAATTGCATATTGTATTCAAAGCTGATGATGAAGGCAAAGATGAGGATGCTCTAATAGAGAGGTAGGTGTGAAAAGGAGTCCAGATGGGGAAGCAGTTGAGGGAGGATGTAATTTCAAGGATAGTTTTTATTTTTTCCAATTATAGTTTACAATCAACATTATTTTGTATTAGTTTCAGCTGTATAGCAAAGTGACATATATTTAAACAATCATATACTTTACAAATTATTTCCCCTGATATTTCTATTACCCACCTGGCATCATACATAGTTATTACAATATTATTGACTATATTCCTTATACTGTCCTTTACATCCCCCTAACTATTTTGTCAGGTACCAATCTGTACTTCTCAATTCCTTCACCTTTCTTACCAAGTTCCCCAACACCCCTCCTCTCTGGCTACCATCAGTCTATTCTCTGTATCTATGAATTTGTTTCTGTTTTGTTTGTTCATTCACGTTGAAGAACCCGTATTTTTAATGACAACATTAAACCACCTAATTAATCATTTGTAAGATCTACTCTACTTGCAGACATTCCATTATGATAGGCAATACTAGGGCACATCTGAATTGATGAAAAGACACCAGAGAGGTTGAAGAATTTAGTAAGAGACAGACAGACACACACGTGCGCATGCACACACACACACACACACACACACACACACACACACTGTGAAAGGATACAGACTGTATCTACTGTGGGAATGCAGACATATCTGGGTCCATCTGGTGAACCAATGGCATGGTCCTACCAAAGTCTACTTTCCAGTAAGCCAAAGGATTTGTTGGGAGAAAACTCATTCTAAAGTCAGAGGGAGCCAGGAACAAGGACTCTTGCCCCAAAGCAAAGCCACAGTCATTAGGCGAATGTGTAATTTTCAATGTAACACAGTATTTGACCAACCTATACTAGATTTAAGAGGCCGTCCTGACACCCTAGTGTAAAAAGGGAGAAAATTATAAATAAATTGAAGCTTGGAAACCTTGAGCTATAAGGTAGACCTTTCTAACAGAACATAATAAGTAGGAGAGAACTCATTTCAACTCCACCCTCACGCTCAAACAACTCTGCCACATATCACAGTGGAACTTTGACCCCAACAGGACTCAGGGCCATTCTGGGCAATTGTGAAAGAGCAGCTGAGGTATCACCATAACCCATGGAGAATGCCCAGCAGAGTTGCTGTGACCACTGGTTGGTACTGGTCTCTCCAATGAACACAGAAATAGTAGAAGATGTGGTCAGAACAGACTTGATTATGAACAAACATAAAGAGACCCCAAGGCCTCCCTGAAATACTTGGGGACAGGAGGACTCTGGTAGGGAGCCAAAGGTCCTGAAGAATAAGCCAGTAAAAGTTGAGTTGTTGCTATTAATGGGACCTCATTCACACTCACAAGCTATTTGAGGACTTGGGAAATTCCAGTTTTAATCTGTATATATAAATTGTTATGTATACATTCAATGTGTATACATTATATACATGAATTATGTATAAATATATATATGTGTGTGTATATATATATATCTGCATATTGTATAATAAATGGATTGAAAAGTCCCTCAAAATTCATACAACTGTTGTTCTAGATTGAGTTTCTTTTATTTTTAGGAAATTCCAGTTTTCCATAAAAGTTTCCAGGAACCTACAAAGTACAGAGTCAGGAATTTTCCCTAATATTCAATCCAAACTTATACTCTGTAATTTAAGACCCAGTTGCTCTGGTCTTTAAAAAACAGATTTCAGCTCTCTGACGCTTACATTAGGCTTCCCTCCATGCTAACTTTTTCTCATATTTGCCTTCAGAACCTTCAGTCATGTTCATCAAGCTCCCCATACTTCTGTAGCACATCACAGCTCTCTGATAGTTCCCAGGTACCATCATCTTCATTTTGCACCAAAATCTTGTATTTTCCTTCATGTGTTCATATCAACTTGGCACCTTCCATTCAAGTGCCTGGCACACAGTAGGCCCTCAAGAAATATAGGCTCAATTAAATGATTTGTATTAATTGTTTTTCTTGCTTAGTTCCACCAAATTCCCTGACATTTGGTATGCTGATCCTGAATAAATGGTACAAGATAAGGATTTCATTCTCTTATTGCACAATGGACAGAATTTATCACTCTTACCCAAATGAAAGTCCAATTCCACTAATTCTGTATCATTTGCGTTATTCCCGCTAACTGGAGACCCACTATGTGGGTGTCCCTGAAGAGCTAACAACAGTGCCCTCAGAATCCAGACAGTTGGCAGAGTCTGCCCAAATCAATATTGTTGGGTTTATGATTCCAGAAGGGGTTTAAAGAAAAGGAACTCTCGAATTTTTAAAATGGCAACACAAGCACATAGTAAGCAATTCAAATAGTACACAGAAAAAAATAAGTCTTTTTTCCAGTTCTGTCACTCATTTTCCTTACCAAATACAACTACTATAGTCAGTTTCTTGTGCATTCTCCCAGTTACTATGCCCACTCATAGCATAAAGGGCCCTTAAACACTGTGCCTTAAACTGGGGTTTGGCAAACTATTGCCTGCAGGCCAAAGCTGGGCCTGTTCTTGTACAGCCTTCGAGCTAACAATGGTTTTAAATTTTCAAACAGTTTAAAAAATTAAAAGAAGGATATTTCATGACACATGAAATTCATTTTTAAGTATTCATAAATAAAGTTTTATTGGCATACAGCAACATCCATTTGTTTATGGATTATCTAGGTTTCTTTCTCCCTACAATGGCAGAGTTAAGTAGTTGCAACAAACACTCCATGGCCCACAGGGCCAAAAACATTTACTCACTAGCCTTTTACAAGAAAATTTTGTTAATCTCTGCCTAAACAAATCACAGAAGAATTTTTTTTTAATCCAGTAATATTACAGGTAAACTATGAATAAATATAATGAATACCCTCATTTTCAACAATCTTGTCTAATTTTCTAGGTGAAAAATCCTATCTCACTGTATTAAATTACATTTCTTTGATTATCTGTGAAATTGGAAAATTTTTACATCTCTATTGCCTATATGTGGCCATTACTTTCAATTTTCTGTTTATACCCTTTTTATGCCATTTTTTCTATAAAGTGTTCATCTTTTTTTATTCATTTACAACTGTAAACCTACTTTGCCCCATGCTATATGTGAAAAGCTTCCTCATCTGTAAAGATATGTAAGTCGATACAGGGATTCTTTCTTACACACTCTTACACATACAAATTTTTAAGACTTTGAAGAGAAAGTAATTTCTTCCCATAAGATATTTGGGGACCCTACCTGTGTTCAATGAAGGGCTACTGGAAATTTTGAATGACATAATGAAATCTGTCTTCAAGAAGATCACGCTATTGAAAAAGTGGGACAGAGAAAGTAAGCAGTAAAGGAAGGAGGAAAATTCAGGAAATCTGTTGCTAACATGAGATGATCGGTGCATACCATGGCGGTATCTGCAGAAATGGGAAGGGAGGGACTTGAGTCTAGTGTACAGAAAGGAGAAAGGAAAGGAAAAAGCCTGGAGATACCAAGGTTAAGCCTTAAGTATTGGTGGAAGGGACAAAATGTTTATTTTACTTTATGTTTATTTGTATGATCTGTAGCCTAAGCCTTCATTTAAGGACCCAGCAGTAATTTCAGAAATGGTATGTGCTGTTTGTTTTGAATGTGATAAGACAACGAGTGACTGGTAGCTTAGACTCCCACTTTCTGGTTATCACTTTCGACTTGTTTAGACACTGTGTGTCACAGGAAGTTCATGGTGTATAGAGCTCCTCTGATTTATCAGAAACCATTTGCAAATAGAGACCTCGGAAACACCCTGTTCCAATTAAATAGCTTTGACTCTGACTTAGAAGAATCTCAGCTCCCAGAAGATAAAGATGAAAATTGTTTACATGTGCTGCTACCTACAAACTCATCACATCCAAAAGGAACCATCCTTGGTGGCATTTTTCTTGGATGAAACCATTTGTTGATGACAGAGCACACATTCTGTTGAACATCTATGTCATCTATTCCTAAAGGGCAGGGAAAAAGTGAGCTTTTTCTAGCCATCAACATTTTGTGCCCAGGGAAAGCCCTGGATTCAGCCCAAAGGCCAGAAGAATGTTCTTAAGGGGAAAGAAAAAATCATGATCTCTTCAAGCAGCTTAGTGGAAAAGTCAGCTAATGAAAACCCAATTAGAATAGTGTGGCGTTTGAAAGAGGTAGCACAAATCCCTTCAGGAGACCAGCAAGAACAGTTATTCACTGAACCTTCATTCATTCTCTTCTATGTATCAGGCTTCGATGGAGGTCTTGAAAACAGAGTGGTGAATGAGGTAGGGAAAAAAAAATCCCTATCTTCATGGGGCTTACATTCTAGTGGGAGAGATACACAATTTGCAAGTAAACATGTAAGATTTCCCATGGTGATAATCTATATATATAAAAGCCTAAGTGACCATTACGACTGAATGACCAGAACGACCAGTGGAACAGTCGTTATGACATGCACTGA